TTTAATAATGAGTTAGGTTGAAATTGGCCAAGTGACAGGCAGGAATCTTGTTTTACTAATCACATGCTAGATGAAGATTTTAAGAACAGTATGTCTTCATAAAGCAGAGGAAAACCCGAGGAGCTTGGCCCAATGTGTTCAAATGCGAACGTGCACGCACACACATACAGGGATGCACAGACACATATATACACACACGCACAAAGTGGCCTTATGCAGTCAGCACCCATCAGGATCATATTTAGTCCAGAGCATTTCCATGTTATCCCATTCAATATACAAGATGAATCCCATGCAATGAATGCCTGAGGGAATTCTTGGGTACTAAACCATACCAATACAGAAGGGGTGGCACTAGCTTCTCAAGACCCCCGTGGGTCCCCACATGTTTAAGCAGTTATGACAGTCGACATCAGGAAGAAAACATAAGAAACTAGACTGAAAATTATTCTACCTGGTTTAAGGTGTGCCTGGTATTAAATGAGCATCTGGGTATCTTAATTCCATACTTTGGTTTTTCTATCTCTATTCATTGTGACCTCAAGGAGAATTAAGTATGTTGACTTTGCAGTAAATGTTGTTGCCTCTTTAAGACAAGCTAATAGGAAATAACATTTGAACTGTACTTCGTTTGATAAGATCGCAGCCACTCATCATTGCTGCATCTATATTTTAAAAGACTTATTGACAAACTGGCAGACACCAGAGCAAAGACAAGCAGAATGGTAAATAAGGGCTCCTAAAATCCCACACATTGCAGATGACACAGGGCCCAGTTCTCAAAAGCTTCACCTCCATTTCACCTCCACACAGTCAGGAAGGCTGGTGGAACAAGTTACTCTGCACTGATGCCATGATTAAGTCTCTGTCCCATCTCCTCTCTCATAAATATTTAAGAATCCACACACACACTTCTCAACACATGCATAACAGTGTGCAAGTGTTTACTGGCAATCTGAATTTTGACTCAGGAAATAATAGGAATGAAAAAATAAGATTTCTAAACAGCAGGCTAAGGCTAGCAACTCAGGTGTAATAAATAAGCAAGCTGTTATCAGTGCTCAAAGACAAGAAAAAAAAAATTAAATCCAGGGATGCCTAGAGTCTTTCTGTCAAGAATCTAGTTAAGTCTGACATCTATATGATGATTACCAAGTGCCATGGGAAATAAAAACCGATTAATCCTCGTCCTTGCCCTCAAAGAGCATACAGGGTAGAGACGGCTGAACACGAACTGTCATGTGTCAACAGAAGCACACAAGCAGTATGGTGGATTTCAGTATGTCACGAGGCAGAAAGGACAGTGTGTGTGCTTGGGGTGTCTCCAGTACTTGATAGCTCTTTGGGAGGCCCAGCTCAGGCCAACTGCTTTAGATAGATGTAAGCCCAATTCCCTACAGGTTGACTTTTAAAGTGAACTCTATTGTCAGAACCCTTATGTGCATCTGAATAGAAATCAACGGATTTAAATAACTAAGGGAATGTTTGTGCCAACAGAATCCAAATCTACCTGGTCACTTGCTTAGATTCAGAGAGCCATATAAGTTTAGAAATGGGCCTCTGGCTTCAGTGAAAACTTATGCCAACTCCCTTACTGGGCATCCCCCTAGGGAGCACCACACAGGGAGCACTGATAACATACTTGGTCGGCTGTGAGTTGGCTGCATGCTTTTCTACCAAGGTAGGGTTTGCAACTCAGCCCTGCTTCCCGTGTGGTTGAAGCAGGCCTTGAGAACCTGTAAGCCGTTTGTCATCAACAAAATGTCATTATCAGTAGTAAGTACAGATTCCTGGTAAAGGATTTAACTTAAAGTGTGGTGAAATAAGGGGGAAGTATTCACTAAGTGTTGCTTTGGTTGTTTTTTTCAGCCTTGCTTCTTTTCCCTCTAGAGCAGAACTGGAATTTTTCAAGGCATTACAGAACAAAAACTCTTTCCCCTAAATTTAATTTTCAGCCACTTTCTCTGTTGGTAGGTCGTAAGACTCATTTCAGCACATCATACCCAAGAGAAGGGATGCTGAACAGAAGTCAATTTAAATAGGCCTACTAGGCTTCCCCACTTAGTCTATTAGCATTAGGTCATGTTTGGTTTGGTTTGGTTTTCTGTCCAACCATTTACCTATATCAGCAGTTCTCAACCTGTGGGTCAAGGTCCCTTGGGGGCTTGAACTACTTTTTCACAGGGGTCACTAAGACCATCACAAAACTCAGGTATTTACATTACGGTACATAATAGTAGCAAAATTACATTTATCAAGTAGCAATGAAAATAATCTTATGGTTGAGGGTCACCACAACATGAAGGACTGCATTAAAGGGCCACAGTGTTAGGAAGGCCGAGAACCACTGATCAACATAGTTGTCTATGCTTTGTGACCATGCCAGAAAGTTTCAGTGAAGGACAGGGTAGGGAGAACATTTAGGCAGCTGGATCATGTGACTTGTAGGAGGCAAAACAAGAACAGCTCCTACACCCGGAGGACACAGTACTCCAATTTGATGGGGAAGAAACTAGGTAGCATTCTGCCAGACATTGTCAATCCGCCTCTTCTTCTGTTTATATCCTTAAAAATAAAACTGTAAACTTTTTGTTTGTTTGTTTGTTTGTTTTTAGTTCCGTGAGCTGCAACAGCAAACTTAGTTATTTTCTATTGTGATTAAACACCAAAGAAACTTGGGAGGAATGGGTTTGTTCCATCTTACAACTCAGGTCACAATCTATTACCGAGGGATGTCAGGGCAGGACATCCTTTGGAGGCAGAAACTAAGGCAGAAGCTATAGAGGAAGAGTGTTCCTAACTGGCTCGATCAGCCTGCTTACTTACACAACCCCAGACTACTTGCACAAAGTCTGCAATGGCCCCATGCACAAGACCCTCCCAACTAATCATCAATTAAGACTTGCACAGACCTGCACAGAAGACAATCTTATGGAGGCATTTTCTCAATTGAGATTCCCTCTTCCTAGCTGGGTGTGGTGGTGCACACCTTCACTCCCAGCAACTTGGGAGGCTGAGGTCAGCCTGGTCTACAAAGCCAGGACACCCAGGGCTATACAGAGAAAGCCTATCTCAAAAAAAAAAAAAAATTCCCTCTTCCCAGATATGTCTAGGTTTATTTCAAATTGGCCAATACAGCATCCTGATCAAGTCTATGAAGGGGGTCACAAGAACTCTGATGTATGGCTGGCTCGTCAGCTGTGGACATGTGACTGCCGTGTGAGGCAGTGGTCAGTCTGTTGGCACTGAGACCACAAGCTGTGTGGCTCCACCTCCAGGGAGGCTTTGTCTGAACTGCACAGTTGTTTGCACGCTGGTGAGGTGAAACCCCTATGCATCCTGAGATCACAAAGCGTTGCCAACATACAGTAAGAGAAGAGCTACTTCTTCCTGTATCTTCAGAATTACCATATTAAAAAATCTTCAAAATTTACTTTTGATTTTTGTATTTATTACTTTACACATTTAAGTGTGTGGGCACGGATTTACCATGGTGCAAATACGGAGGTCAGAGGACCACTCTAGGGAATCAGTTCTTCCCTTCCACCCTCACATGGTTCTGGGGATTGAACTTGGGTTGTCAGTGTTAGACAACAAGCACCTTTTTCTGCTGAGCCATCTAACTGGCCCCCAAATTTGCTTGTGTTTATGAGTGACAGTTGATAGCGGAGTGCAGAAAGATGACCCAGTTTTCTTCCTTATATTAGTTTGTGTTTCTGAACTTACATGGTGAAGATCTGTTACTACCAAGCAAGTAAGCAAATTAATTTACGAATACTGGAAATAAGTATATTTAAAATGTTAATGAATAAGTATTCAAAATAGTTCATAATTCATTTAAATACATTTGGATCTAAAACACAAAAAGAAAAACAAAAAAAGTCCACCTCTTTATAACATTTGGGTATATCAAGTGGTCTAGCAAGGTCCTTCGAAGGTTGTAGAACCAGGAAAGTACAACAGGAGGAAACTTTGGAACCAGAAGAATACTGGAATGTCAGATGCTACCCATGAATCACATTCAAACTACACCAGGCAGGTGATTTGAACCAAGAGTTACTGATAGCACAAGACTTAGCCTCTAAGAATTAAACTGTGTTCACCCTTTCTGGGTTTACAGAAAGAGGTGACAGCAGGCAGTTAACTGCTGGTGCAGCCCAGTGCGGTAAAACTTGGTCGTTATGTAATAGGCCTTTTCTCTCTCCTTGATGGAAAGATCAGATGAGATTAAAAGCAGATAAATGCAGGGTTAGTAGGTGCTGCTCCCAAGAAATGGGGCCACAGAAGTCCTGCTCCTGGGCTAAGGCAAGGGGATTTTATAGTTGTTAGGTGAGGAGTGATGACCATCAGCCAGGAGTTGTCTCCCTGCAGGGAAGGTTGAGGGAAGGAGGGCAGACAGCGTTTCCCAGATAGTGTGGGTTGTGACCAGTTAGCATTACCTTCTCAGTTGACTTTATTTTTAAAGGTCTTAAAACATGCATTCCGGACAAATATAAGTAAAATGCCCAAGAGTAAGGGCCATATGTTAACTAAAGGTATCACCAAAATTTCCTTGGACCAATCAATGCTTTTTAGGAGGTGGGCACACTGGCACCATTTCTCAACAGCACAGGTATAACAGAGTATCCCATACACAACCACACTATCATTAAGAAAACGAACAGCAGCTATTCCAGAGCAGAGAGTAAAGGTTAGTTTAAACAACACCAGCTCCTTTCCCATCATCCTTCCAGACTGCCAGAAATCCTTGGTTCTGCACCAGTACTCAGCAGCTGCACAGTGAAGAATTCTCTCCGTGAAGCTGTAAAGTACTGAAACATTTGTTTGTCTATGAGTTTCTTCTCTCAGCAACTGTTAGTTTCCTTTAAAAAAAAAAAGTTTTCATAAGCTTCAGGTGTTAAAATATTCCAAGACTAAATTTATTCCATTTATTATTTCACACATAATTAATAATGTAAGTGTTCTAAGGAAACCTAAAGTATACTATGAGTGTAGCCAAGTTCTACTCTCTCAAAAAAGTACTCATTCAATCTTCTTCCAAATTCATTTCTCCAGAAGGCCAGTCTTTAAGGACTTCTGCAGTCTGGCTATGTTAGCATCCAATGCGGCCAGGCCGTTTCTGAAGTCCTGTTCATCATGAGATGTGAACGTTGAAAACGAGGAGATGCTCCAGTCTGACATCAAGTCAGAGTTTAGAAAGCTGCCGTCACTGACAATGTTGCCCTTTGCTGGAACAGCAGGACCATGACAAGCTGACAGGCCATGATGTGGGGACTGTTCTTTTGGGCGTTCAGCAGCAGCAGGGATCTTATCAATTGCTTCTTTTATTTTCCTGAGGAGCTGCATGTCCTCCATGTCATATGGTCTGGAGAGATTTCCAGGTGCAGCTTCTGCGTCTTTTTGGGACGAGCAAGCTACAGGTGCACATAGTTTACTTTCTCTTTTAGAGGCGAGTGCATGGCTGCTGCCTAGCTGTGTTGTAGCAACACTTGTCTTTGGCTGAGGGGATATCCTCTTAGAAAGCGGCAAATGCTTTTTAAAAGTGCTTCGTGCAAAAGGAATATAAACTGTACTGTCCAAGTTACATCCATCTTCTATTAAAGTGATAGTTTCACACTCTGTGTCAGAATCCTCTGTAGAAGCAGAAACTATTCCAGGTGCAGAGCCCCCATCCACTGGCCCCGTGTCACTATGTGGGGGGCCTTCTGTGGGCAGCACATTTTCACAGAGTTTGTCTGGCTCTACAGTTTCCTCATTGTTAAGTAGACCCGAATGTGTAAAGCTGTGATTTGCCTCTAATTTATTTAGGTAGCTCATTATGGAAGTGTGAGGGGGGACTGGGTCCTGTTGAAGCTGTTGATCATAGACATGCAGGAGTGACTTGGTGAGGCTATTGCCCATCTTGGAGTAGGCAGTGTCCACACTGAGATCCGAGAGCAGCTTTGCCATACTGTTCTGTAAAGTTCTGCCAAGAAGAGTTTAGTACAGCAATTACTGTTTGTTTTGACCCAATTCTTTGATTCGATTCTATATGCCTCTATCCTTTAAAGAAGGACTTAAGGCCAACTGTGAAAATTTGTGTTGGAAGGCTTTTGCAACAAAAAAATAAAATAACAAATTACAAAAGATCTTGGTTTATGTCAAATCTACTAGCGTATGTAAAAGTAAAAGCTCATAAGTTTTCTTAAGTTATGAAAATACTTTATTCTTGAAGAATGTTGCCAACTGAACCTTTGAGTTAAAAAAAAAAAAAGTCAACCTAGTAGGTATTGCTAAAGCAAAACAGAATTTCTACAGTAACTTATTACTGTCAAATACATTTATAAAACTAAGCACATAATCTATAATACATCATTTATACAGAATAGACATCTATTTCCCTAAAGGCTTATAATTCAAATGGGTCATTTGGGATGATGACCTTCCAGGATCACTAAAGGCATTGTCAGATCTACTGTTTAACATTTTATAAAATATTAAAAACATTAACTTCTCTGAAATGTTTAAAAGTAGTTGAAAGTCCAATGATTATCAAATGTCTCAAATGAAAACTGATGTTTGTAAGGTTTCTATAAAAGCATAAAAAGACAGGCTTATTTATCAGGGAAGAGACTGAATAAAGGATGAAGACATTTTAGTGGCTCTGGCCAAATCTTTCACTTTGCTGATGAAATGAAGAAAATTAAAGTCTAAGAGGTAAGTGACCCACCCAATACCATACAGCATGAGGACTTACCACATTAGATGCACATCATCAATTATTTTGTGGTCCCTCTGGCAACTCTATTCATGTCCCAACTTTACAACTGAGGTGTACAGGGATTAAGTATGTGGACAAAATCACTCCGCTACTACGTAGCAGAGCTGAGAATTCAGTCAGTCTCTTTACCAGGGAGCTTAACTACTTCACTACAGTGTTCAGTTCTTCATTGGAGCTTCTGGTTACCCACAATCTACAACCCTGTGCTTTAAAATGCCTTTACACAGGTCTGGAGTTTCTAAAGTGAAATAGAACAAAGGATCAGAAACTAAAAGAAAAAAAAAAGGCAAAAGAAGAGGAGAAAAGAAGAAAGAAGGTCTGTGTGGTTTTGAAGTTTATAAAGACATCTACAAAAAGGCCTAGGTTACCCAAAGGAAGTAAGTTTACCTGGTTAATTCTCTAAGTCGTGCAACCTCGGCATCACGCTGCCGTAGTGTTATTCCCAGTATCTGATTTTCCTTTTCTGCAGTCTCTAATTTAAACTGAGAGTTCTTCTCATTGGCCAAGGCTTCCTCCAATTCTAAAGCAAACAAAAACAACAACAATGCCCTTTAGTTTCCTTATTGCTTTAAAAACAAAAGACTGTAACTATAGTTCAAATACATACCAATTTTTACCCTTGTCATCTCAATGTCAAACTGCTGTTTATTTTGAAGTAGAGTTTCCTCTTTGTCTTTAAATAAAATAGTAAATTTTTTGTTTTCATCTCTCTGGTTTTCTATTACTTTTAGGAGCTCTTCATTTTTACTCTGTAGTAACTCCTGGCTCTTCAGTGACTCTTGCAATTGATTTTGCAGTGACATATTCAGTGACTGAAGGGAAAACACTAAGATAAAAGACATCAAATAGTTGTTTCCCTATGTTTGAAATACATCTACAAAATAACTGTTTTTAGAAAAAGAAAAGCCTGAGTTCAGATTCCACTCAATAATAACATATACAAATGCTATATAAATATAAATATATTTAAAAAAAAATAAATGACAAAAGTAATGTCTTTCCTCTCCAATTGATATTTTAGTCATAAATTGTTTTTATTTTTTTAAAACAAATAATACATGTGCAAAGTAAATATCTCTAACTCCACTAAAATGCTAAAGATGCCAAAAATTCTCAACAATGTGTCTTGCTTTCTGCATGCTAGCTCTCCATTCAGAGTCAATCACTATTAATTTTGGTTACTTTTCTGGAAAATACTTAAATAGTCAATGATTTACATAAGTTCTTATACACACTTTCCCTTGTAAGACTGTCAGGCGTCAGCCTACAGAAACACCATATTCATTGTTGTGGTATAAAAATCAGACTTCCATGTAAGGCGGCAGATTAGAAGACTCATCACTAAAATTTGGTGAAAGAAAAGAACAGAGATAATATACATACATGGTAAGCTCCTGCCCTGCAAGACATAAGGTCTGTAAATGGCCTTATTAAGCCAGGGAAGATCTCTGCAAGGAAGCAGGCAAGAAAACCAAGAATGGGAGCTAACAGAGGAGCCCTATCCAGCTGCCTGCCTGCCAAACAAAGCAGCCCAGGAGACAGCAGTCAAAACACAGGGAGTGCTGCCCCTCACATACCACACGCCACAGGAGAGCTCAGCAGCCGAAGGATACTACCAGGGAACAACTTAAACCTCCCCTCCTGCAGTTGCCAGAACACTGAGGCTGCAGGGACCACTGTCCTCTCTCTCTTCCCTCTCCCAACACAGCACCACTAGAGCCTGCAAGAAGTCAGAAGGGTCTAAGAACTTCACCTTTCAACTCTGTGCAACTGTGCAGCAATTCAATACATAAGGCTAGGAACCCTGGGTTCCTAGACTGAGGAATTATTTTCTGAACTATACGGAACTCTATCGTATATAACTCCCAATTACACATTGCAAAATCCTTCAACTAAAAGAATATGGCTTATTAAAAAAAGCAAGCGCACAAAAACAACCAAACAACAAAATAATACCAGAGGTGTAATTCTTGTGCTGTGACATAAGAAACAGACAAACAAAAAATCCAAGACAACACTCCTCCTCCAAAAATTACTAACCCTACAGCAATGACATCTGGTGAGAGTGAGATGAAATCTATAGCAAAGAACTAAAAATAAATGATTGTCTTGGGACTGGGGAAACAGCCATTTGAAGAGTGCTTGCTCTCTTTCAAGGGTCAGGAATTGGGTTCCCTGCAACCATATCAGGCAGTTCATAACCCCAACACCCTTTTCTGGCCTCCATGGGTTCTTACATATAAATAAAGAATAAAGTCTATTAAAAAATAATTATGTTCAAAGCCGCAAAGAACAGCGGAAAGAAGCAAAGCAATAGATGATAAAAAAAAAAAAAAAAAAAAAAGGAGTTCAACAGAAAGAAAAATACTCAAGAAAATCCAATCTGAAATGCTAAAAGTAAAAAATCAAATCAGGAAATCAAATCAAATGCTCTATGAAAAGTCTTTGCAATACAATGGGTTGAGGAGAGGACAGAACATTTGAGTTTGAAGACAATGCAGAAGATTTGGAACAAGGACAAATATAAAATCATAAGACTCTAAGGGAATTTCAAGATATACATGACACTCAGAAAAGACCAAATCTACAGATAAGGGGCACAGAAGAATTTCATTTTAAATGCATTGAAAGCACTTTCAAAAGAGTAACAACATAAATTTTCTCAGAGTTGGGAAAAGAGATGCCAATCCAAATAAAAGTGTCATTTAAGACACTGAACAGATAAAGGCAGAAAACAACCTCTCCTAATCAGATTATACTAAAAACACTCTCCTAATTAACTGTCAACTTGATACAGTCTAGAACCACCTGAAGAAGAATCTGTCTTTATCAGATTGGTAATGTCTTTGAAGGCTGTCTTGATTGTTAATTGATGCAGGAAGATCCAGCACACTGAGGGCAGCTTCATTCCCTAGGCAGATAGTCCCAGGCCATATAAGAAAACTAGCTAAGTATGAGCCAGAAAGCAGTGTTCCTTCAATGGTTCCTGCTTTGATTTCTTTCTCTTAGGGATGGAGTGTGACCTGGAAGCATACAGGCCAAGTAAATTTGTTCCTCCCCTAAGCTGGTTTTGGTTGAAGTGTTTTATCATAGCAACAGAAAAGAAAATAGAATAACCACTCCGAATATACAGAACAAAGAGCAAACTGAAATCAGCAAGAAAGAAACACCAAATCATTTATCAAGGCAGGCCCATCAGAATAACAGATTTGTCAACTGAACATCAAAAGCCAAGAGGGCCTAAAAAGATATTTTAAGTTTTGAAGAACAGCATTGCAAACACAGACTACTTACCCAACAAACTTATCTGTCATAACTGAAAAAATTAAACACTTTCCATGATAAAAATAGACTAAAAAAATTTAGGACCACTAAGCAAATTCTACAGAAGATGCTTGAAAGAATGACTATCATAAAGAAAACAAATGACAGAAAATACTAGCAAGGGATGTAGAGAAGCAGGAATATTTACCCACTGTTGACTGGAGTATACAGGGGTTTCCCCACTGTAGAAATCAGTATGGAGGTTATCTCAAAAAGCTAACAACAGAATCACTCCCCAACCCAGCTACACCTCCTAATGATATACCCAAAAGATTCTATTGCTTTACTACAGAGATGCTTGTAATTGTCCAACCAACTAATGAATGGATAATGAAATTATGGTGCAAATAAGCAATGGGACACTATTCAGCTATAAAGAAAACAATAAAACTTGCAGGGAAATTGATAGAACTAGAAAATACTGTATATCAAATAAGGTAGTCCAAGCCCAGAAAGGCAAATCCTGCACATTTCTCTTTCAATGGATCCTAGATTCAAGTTTTAGATTTTATGCTCAACTTGGAGTGTCTATAGAGCTCGGGAAGGCAGAAAAGTGCCCATGAAAAGATGAATGAAATGAGAATAGTGGGAGAGTATAGAAGAAAATGTGTGACATGAAAGAAGAAGGAAAGAATACTGGTGTTAAAGGTTTAAGCAGGAATAAGGGTGGGGAAAGTGGAAGAGGAGAGGGTCAGAGTGTGTAACCAAAACTGAGAGTGAATGTAAAAACATGGAAACCCATTACTTTGTAAATAATTTTTAAAAAGGAATTTAAGCAGAGGTAGCCTGCACAATGCCACTTCAAGAAGACATTAATTATTAATTATTAAATGAAAATCTCAGCTCAAAGCATGAAATACCTCCCTGTAAGTTACTGGTCAGGGAGGCCCCAAAGCCCTCAAAACAAGAGGCTTCTGCTACTGCCCTTGGTCGTCTATCATAAAAGGATGGTAAGAGCCTGACACTTTGGTTTCAAAGTGTAGAGAAATCAATCTGGAGCTGACCTAGGTTTCACAGTGCTGAAAGGAGCTATGCAGGCTGCTGGATGGTCGAGGAGGGGTAGAGACACCAACCGACACTGTGTCTAGAACTGGACCTGGCATGCTACAATACTGACCTGCTAGGCAAGCTGTGCCTACTAAAGAGTGTTAGACTTTCTGATTGGATCTGAGTCCTGCTACACAGGAGAGAATTCATACTGTAAACCTCATGCATGGAAGGTCACAGGCCCTAGGGGAACTGACTGTTGTTTTGTTTTGTTAATTGGTTATGTTGTCAAACGATCCTTTAAGTATTTGTTTCTACTTATAGATCCGTGCTGCTCTCAGTCTTGGTCAGAGAAGCTTCGTTTTGCAGTGGGAACCGTCTAATGCAGAGACCGGCCACAGTACTGGGAAAAGATGACTGTGAGTGCTCAGCCACAAATGGAACATCTATATAAACTGTTCGTGTTCCCTCCCCAGGCCCAGCGAGCATGGAAGAGTGGTCAGAAAGCACTGACAGAGCATAACCATTGCACTCCTAAACTCACAGCAGCTATGGGTACCTGCACAAGAGCAAACTAGTCAAAATTCCACCCTGAGCAGTGGAGACTCACAGGCTCCGCCCCTACAGGAGCTGTATGAAGTTGATGGATCCTGATGGATGTGTCATTTCCTTTGGGGGTTGTCCCTGGTAGGCTGCCTGTGCTACAGTACAAGGCCATACACCCATGCACCTGACGGCAACACTAACTGACCTCTGTGGTGTCGGAGGGAGAGGGCATTAAGTGGGAAGGGATGTGCTGGGAGGCTTTCTGGGGAAGTCAGAAGTGTGGCATGGGGGTGGTATGATGAAGACGCACTGTATATATGCACAAAATTCTCAAGGAATAGATAAAATTACGTAAAAGCATGTGACAACACTTTGTTTAGCTAACGCAGACTTAAGTGACTGCTCACTGTGTGTGAATCACTATTAGAATCTGGAGATGAAGCAGTGACCTTCATCTCATGGAGCTGCTAGTAAACAAATTACCATAAACAGTGATAAATACTCTCCAAAAAGGTACAGTGAGCTAAATGTTCAAGAGAATATGAAGAGCTAAGCTTAGAGAGGTAAACCTCTGCTCTTCCCACTTCCTTTATGGCCTCCTCTCTGGCCCTCCTCTATCCACACCTTAGGTTAACAGCAGAACCAGAAGGAAGGAAGTCTCATAAACTACCGTGGTGAAGTTAAGAACTTCAACTGTTGGTTGCTCAAATTTTTTCTTCCTGTTTTGTAAGAGGTAATTATACATTAAAAATATGCCTCTGTTATGTATTACAAAAAACTTTTCCCCATTATGCTCCTATCTGTTGAATGTTTTATCATTCAGAAACTAAAAAAAATTCTAGCATCAAAGTACTTTTTTGTAACATCACATTCACATTAGACTCTAGGAAAACCTCTGAGAACATTAAAGAGACTCTAATCTTGGTTTTCTCTGTGCAGCTCTGTGATCCATAAAGGTGATTTGGTATTCACTGTGCTCTCAGTGGCTGAAGTAAGGAGGGAGGACCACCTGAGCCTCCAAATCCAAGAGCCACAAAGTAAGACCCCCCCTTCACAACAAACAACAGAAAAAAGAGGAAGAACAGATATCTGACAATATCTGTCAAAACAGCAACTATATATACACTTTGGCTCAGTAATTCTACTAGAAATCTATCCTGCAAAACGTGTATATATGTGCACAAAGACACTAGTACAAAGACTTTCATTTCACTGTTGTTCATGTTGTGAGAAAGGCTGGAAATATATTTCAGAAGATCTTAAATTTAGTAGGGACAACAAGCAGAATACTTACAAGATTATTTAAGATATTTGCACATTTATTAACTTGGCTTCTCAAGATAGGGTCTTACTACATCCAGTTCTGGCTGGAGCAGTACTCGATATATTGCCTAGGCTGGCCTCAAGCTTGTGGCAATCCTCCTGTCTCACCAGTAGTGGGAGTACAAGTACATCCAACAACTGTTTTAAATAACAATACAATTACTCCTAATTTTAAAAAGTTGATTCAGAAAGAAACCTCCCTTAGACACAATAATTAAGAAAGCACAAGTCTACCCCAACATTTCCAGAGTAACAAAGGCTTCAATTTCAACCCTTCCAGTTCTTTCACCTACATTCATGGTTGCCCAGTGCCTTTGCAGTTTTCTCTTGTTCTCGGAAGCGCTGATTCAGAATTCTCAGCTGCCTAAAGGAAATAATGAAGATGCGTAAGGATCCTAAGTCCATTTCACAGTATACATCTAATACCCTACCAAAAAAAAAAAAAAAACCAACCAAGAAACTATAAAAAACAAAATGTACAAATGCTATCATCACCAGTCCAGTCCATTTCAAACCCAAACCAAACACAAAATCTAAATGAACAAAACTACAAAACCACCCTGTGGTCAGGGGCCCATTTTGAACGTACCATGCCGCCCCCATAACAAGTGTTTTCTATATCCATAGATCTTTTATATACATTTTGTTTGTTTGTTTGAGACAGTTTCTCTGTGTAGCTTTGGCTGTCCTGGAACTTTGTAGACCAGACTGACCTCAAACTCAGAGATCCATCTGCCTCTGCCTCCTGAGTGCTGGGATTAAAGGCGTGTCCCACCAATGCCTGGCTGCATTTCTGAGACAATCTAATTTAATCTAATTTCCAAGACTGGTCTTGAATTTGTTATCTTCCTGCCTCAGTCTCTTGAGTAGCTAGGACTGTATGTCTGTGTCACCAGGCACAGGACAGCTAGTTACAGAATTGTTTGGGACATCATAAATTGTGCTTCACTGTTTCTAAGACTGGCCTGGAACTCAGAATTGTAGCTCACAGTGGTCTGAAATTTGAATTCTCCTTCCTCAGCCTGTCAAGTGCTGGGACACTACTCTCACACCACCATGGCCAGATGTCTCCTTTGTTTTCATTTTCTTTATCTTCACACCTCCTCTTTCAAAATAACATATATGTGTGTATAGATACACGTATATAATAACTTTACTACTGTAGTTTACCTTTTAAAATAACTGCCATTTCTGTCAGCTAGAATACCTGTAGGTGCCAACTACCAGATATATTTCTGCTTCATTTTTGTCCGTCATTAATAAAATTGAGATACATAAATCTATGCTTCTAACTTCATTATTAGATGGAGAAGTTAATGGCTACTTCATGTGAATGTTAGTACCAACTCTGTCTTCACAATATGTTCCTGCTTCACAAGCAAGACTATGTAAGTAGGTACTGATTAGGACAGAACAAAAACTCTTCAGTGTTTAGTATCTTCTGAGAATTGTAAATTTTCTGTACAAAAGTATTGCACTTAATTACTGAATCTAAAATGATAGACCCTTACCAAATACCATTCCCAAGTATCAATTCTGGGCAGATTAAAAAGCTAAGAACACAAAATATGCCAATAAAATGCAACAACACAAAATTTACAAGGAAATATAAATAATATTTAACCACAAAAGGCATCCCTAAGTAAGACTCAAAATCCAACAACTATCAAGAATATAATGTTTAAAAACATCACAATTTGAAGCTTGTTTTAGGATTGAAGGCCTGGAAAAAGACAGAACAAGCAATTCATCTAAGAAAGCTAAATGATTTATAAGCACTAAAAAAAAAAAAAAAAAAAAAAGCATAGCTTGGGTCTGGGGGATGGTTCACCACAGAAAACAGAGGGGCTGTATTTGGAATCCTATGCTCACATGAGAAGCTGGGTGTAGTGGTATGACACTGGCCACTTGTTTCCACATATATACATACACATGAATGTATACAAGACACATACACACATATACAAAAAATAAAATAAAAAGCAATAGCTCTTCATTAAGTGACAGTATAGGGAAATTCTTTCAGTCAGTGGGAGTCTACTGTAACCATTTAGATGACAGTTTGCCAATATCCAAACTATAAAATATATATCATAATTGACAAGATAGTTTTAAATTTTAATTTCTATTTTATGTATATGGGTGTTTTGCCTGCACGTCTGTGCACCGCATGTGTGCCTGGTGCTGGTGAGGACAAAGGAGAGTATTAGAGGCCCTGGAGCTGGAGTCACAGATGTTTATGCACTGTCATGTGGGTGCTGGGTACCAAACCTGGGTCTTCTGCAAGAATAGCAAATAATTTTACCTGTAGGTCATTTACTCTGAGAAATAGCTCTACATATGCAAAAGCATATAAAACATTATATACATATATATACATATTGTAATACTTAATGAGAAACTGGAAACAGCTTAGATGTGATACATGTGATGGTTCATCCGTGTGTTGAAAATACATACTAATATATGAATACTAAAAAGAGTAAGATATTCATATGTACTGACTTAGAAAGAACACCAAAAAGGACTTAGGGAATAGCTCAGTGACAGGGCATTTGTGTGGCATGTGCAAAGCCCTGGGTTCAATATCCATTAAAAAAAAAAAATCTCTTAAGATACACTATAAAGTAAAAAAGAATGAGCTGCAGACAGAACTCTGCTTTTTTCTTTCTTTTTTATAGAAACAGGGTTTTTAAAAAAGCCTTGTGTTCTCTTGGCTGGCCTGGACTTGTTTTGTAGACCAGGCTGGCCTCGAACTCACAGAGATCCTTCTACCTCTGTCTCTCCAAGTGCTGGGCTTACAGGTGTGCACCACCGCACCTAGCTCAGAACTGTTTTTTTCTAAAGGGTTCCCTTAAATAACAAAACATATAGATCTGGAAAAGGCAGCACAGAGTGATGACCCAGAATATAAAACACAATGCCTGTTCTGGTATCTTACAGAAAACTAGCAGCTACCTTAGATTTTTTAAATAATGTTTTTGTATGCTGCTGTTCAGATTCTTCTCTTTTGAAATATTAGCCAACTTGAACTTTCTATCATTTATTACAAGCCTCCCATCCCCACCCTTGTACCCCACCATGCAGAAAAGTTTGCTATGCTATGAACCTTAACCCCAGCACTTGGAGGTGGGGACAGGAGGATCCTGGGAGCTCACTGGTCAACCAGGCTAGCCAAAATAGCAATCTTCAGGTTCAGCTTGAGGTCTTGTCTTAAGGGAATAAGATGAAGAGGAAGGCACTCAAGAAGAACATCTTTGTCTGGTCTCCACTTGAGTGTGGCCATGCATAACAACATCCTCTGTCTTTTCTCTACTCTTTCACCCCGCACCTCAAAAATGTGGTATGGAGAGAAACTTTTATCCTACCACAGTATGTCAATTTATTTGGGTGTTATCATTATTATGTGTTCTCTAGAATACCCCAGAATCCCTTGAGACTCTCAAGGACCCTGTTTCCCCTCAGTTCTGTGCCTTGCAGCTTCATCCCCTTTGCTGGTTCCCGTGTCTTGGCTGAGGAGCACACTGAAACTCCTGCCACATTCATGACAATACTCCTTCAGCCTATTTGTACAAGTAGCTACTATTTTCTCTCTTATTTCCTGCCTTTAAATTTTTGTCGTTTTATAATAAATACTAAAAATTAATAGCGAAAAATCTCTCAGAAATGGAGATTACACATACTGTTTTAAAGGCATACAATTTAAATATATTTGATTTTAACAAAAGACAAAAACAAAAGACAGCTGACATTTAGGCAAACATTCTTTGGTTAGTTTACTTTTATGCAGCTGTATGAAGGTAAAGCATATGTACACTAATCTACATAAATTTAAAGTGTAAACTTCTATCCATTTATGGTGTGATAATGTGATAAAGCCCTCACCATAGTAAGATCCACATGATTTTGAGATTCCTCAGGCCATTTTCATACTCCTCCTTTGCTGGACAGACAACCACTAACCATGGTTCAGATTATTTTCATTTTCTGTAATTTTATAGAAATAGAATCCTGATATATATACTGACTTCCTGGCTTCTTCCATTCAGCAAAATGGTTCTGAAGCTCATCCATTCTGTTGCGTGTGTATCAACAGTTCCTTCCTTTTCTATTGCTGAATAGCACTATGAACATCTGTCAACAGACACTTAAGTTGTTTCCTGTGAATACTCTGTAAATTTTTATGGGGTTATGTGCTTTCATTTCTAAGAAAGCGCTGAAGAATGAACTGTCTGGATCATATGACAGACTTATACATGTTTCTAAGAGACTACCATACTTGTTTCCCAAGTGCTCTTACCATTTTACATTCCTACTAGCCAAGATGAAGCTCCTCCACATGCTCACAGACCTGGTTCGAACTTTGCTGCTATTCCAGTGAATATGCCATGGTATTCCATTGTGCTCTTAATGTGCAGGCTCCTGGTGGTTAATGATAACTATCTTTTTGTGTTCTTACTTGCTGTCCATGCATTAGAACCCCAGGCGTCACACATGCCATGCAAGTGATCTACTACTAGGCCATATCCTCAACCCAAGCCTGTTTTGCTTCATTATCATTCTATCTATCTATCTATCTATCTATCTATCTATCTATCTATCTATCTATCTATCCGTCTGCTGTCTATCTATCTATCCATCCACCCACCTATCTATTCATCCACCCACCCAACCACCTACCTATTCATCCACCTACCCACCCACCCATCATCCATCTATCTATCTATCTATCTGCCTATCTATCCATCCATCTATCTATTTTGAGACCCATCTTCCTGTGTTGCTGACCTTGAATTTAGGATTATCTTTGCTTCCAATTTCTACCTTCCAAGTGCAGGTATTATCATGCCTGGCTCCATGTATTCTGTAATAAAGTTTCTGTTCAAATATTTTACCCATTTTCAAAACAACACTAAACACAGTTACAACATAGTTGTAACAATTTCTTTATATCAGTAGATACAAGTTCTTTGTAAGATACATTTTCCACACATATTTTTGCTCGTCTATTGGCTGCCTCTTCATTTTTGGTTAATAGTGTCTTTTGAAAACCAAAAATTTAAAATTTTGAATTTCAATGTACTTACTTCTAGTTTATATTTTAGGATTATATTTAAGAAATATTCCCAATGCAAAGTACTAGGACTTGCCCTGTGCTTAGTTCCACCAGTGTTTGTACACTGAGATGTTATTCACTTAAGTTAACTTTTATATATGCTATAATGTATGGTTGAGATTCATTTTTTAATACTACTTGAAAGAATATATTTTGTGTGTATGTGTGAGATGTACATGTTCACATGTGTAAAGGTAAAAACGCTAATGCACACGCACCTATAGTGTGAGTGTGCGTGTGGAAGCCAGAGGTTCATGTTGGGTATCGTTCTCTGTTTTGAAGAGGAAGGGTCTCTCCCTGAACCCAGAGATCACTGATTCTGCTGGTTTAACTGTCAGCTTGTTCCAGGGGCCCCTGTCTCTGCTTCCTAAGCTTGGGACCATCAGGCCCACGGGCCTCTTTTATGTAGGTGCTGGAGATATAAATGCCGATTCCCACACGTGGGCAGCAAGCACTTTTATCCACTGAGCCACCTCTCCAAGCCCCCAAAATGTTAATTGTTTTTTTGAGCTTGGTGTGTAAATCTGTGGTAGAGAGCTTACACAATATATGCAAAGCACCAGGACTTATCCCAGAACCCCACCCCCACCTCACATACACACCAGGGCAGGGGATGGCAACGGGACACAAAATGCCAGTGTTTGCAAAAAGAACTAAGGCTGCTAGGAGATGTTGAGCAATTAATTCAGTGATAACTAAAATAACACAGAGAAAAGGCAAAACAAAAGCCTCAAACCAGTAAGACAATTCAGTCTGCACATGACGCAAGCTGGAGTGGCCTGCAATATTCTTGACGTCACATTTGCTTGTTAGTTAATGGTCTTGTTTGTTTCACATTTGCTTGTTAGTTAATGGTCTTGTTTGTTTCTAATGGCGCTTTCATTGCTATGATTTTTCTTTTACTCTTCTGAGCTTACCTAGCTCACTTTTCTTCTCCCTTTACTCTTCTCTTTTTGTAAGCTCTCTGTCTGCCTGTCTGTCTCTCAGAGAAAGCCTCTACAGACTATGGAACACTGTTCCAGATTCCCAGCACTTGGGAAGTGGTGTTCTTTTGTCTTAGGAAGTCTGTTTTTGACCCATCTTTGTCCCTGCTATTAACTTGTTCATTCTGAATGTTATATATATTCTCTGCTATCATCTCTTCTGTGGCTTGTATCTTAGTTTTCCTGCTACTTCCCTTTTGGGGTTTTTCACGGCTGCCTTTCTTTAGTTCTTTCCTTACAAACCTGTGATTACCCACAATTTACCTTGTGCTGTGATTATGTTCTATACCTGCTTGGTGAATTCATCAGTTATATTCTATTAAGAAATTACTGGCATTTAGCTGCCCTTTTTTCCAGTGCCTACGAGGATAGACCCATAGTAAAAGCTCTGTAAAACTGTGTTCAATTCCCAAATCTACATTTCTAGCTTGGATCCTGATCTTATGTTCTAGACTTCCAGACAACAAAGTATATCTAAATTTTAACTCAGTGGCTCTTCCACCACCTCTCCTAACTACAAAATAAAGTGCGGGAGGGGACAATCAAACAAATGTATCCTTCTCTAGGAAGTACTATTTTGCCATCTGCCAAAAAGACAAGACAAACGTCTTAATGGCATCTTGGCCCTGCCCATTTGCTCCCAAACTGTTGTGCTCTGTCTGGACTATAATGAACTTACACTTAAGTTTGCAATCAGGAAGTGTCATGAATTTCTAAATCACCTTATAAATATATGGCACTCTCCAGACTTATGATTGATACTATGAGATAATACTCGACTCTGATCTTCCATCCAGGATGTTTTGGGACGTCTAGGGCCTTCTAAAGTTAAATGAAACAAGGCATTACAGATTACAGATATCTTGTGAGTTGGGAACTGGAGGACTAAATGGAGACAACTGTATTTCAAATATCATTTAAGATCTGACATTCCAAAATGCCCAAAGTACATTAGAAGCAATGCTCTTAGTAGTTTTTTTTTTTTTTTTTTGCCACAAGATGGCAATAAACTTCAAGTTGTGTGGGGGTTGGGTGAGGAGAGAAAGATCACTATTCTAGTTAAAAACTGTAGTTAACAAATGTTGGCAAAGAAAAAAGAAATGAAAATCACTTCTAAATAAGCCTACCATCCTAGTTTTTATGTATAATGACATTTATGAATTATTCTTAAAAGTTATTCTGTAAAATAACTTAGATTAACACAGTAAGTTCATGAGCCAGCTCCATCTCCCTGTGTATGCGCTGACAAGTGACAACAGAACAGGTGGGCAAGGATATGTGATGGCAAGTTGAAGAATGTAGAAACCTCTGGAAAGTGAGAAAGGAAAGGCCTTTCCTAGAACGCTGGGCTCTGTTTTCCTTAGGAAGGCCTAGCTACTTCACTGGCATCTGTGCCCAGGCTGTGGAACACCTTTACCCATAGACGGAGATATTCAGAGAGCAAGCCTTACCTTCGAAGCTGAGCATTCTCACTTCTCAGTGGCTGCAGGGCCAGCGCTATTTCAACCTCCACATTAGCGCGGCCACTCACTGCTGAAAGTCCAGATACGCACGCCTCTACTTCTGCTACCAATCTCTGAACTTCTGAGTCCTCTGTGAAAGGCAACTGAGTAAAGTCAGTATTTTAAATTGACAAGGTTATTAGTATGTATCACTAAAAATCTGTATAGATAATATGAACTCATTATAGATTTCAACTTCATTACTCATAATTATTACAAATTCTATTTTTGTTTATCCTGCACTTGTATTTGCTCACTCAGAATAATTCTAAAGAAGCTACACTGAGTAAAGAAAGATTAATCTTAAATCTTTTTAGGTATTTAGTGATTTTTTTTTCAGCTAAGTGAAGTGGGAAACAGATTTACACATATCTTCTAATACTTATCAGCAAACTATAGCAGACTCTATGACTGCTGTGTAAGCTTCCTATAAAGGCTACTGTGTAAAAACCTCAACAATACAGTCTTTAATCCTGCATTAAGGAATACAGTTTGCTGGGTGTGGTGGCGCATGCCTGTCATCCTAGCACCTGGGGAGGCAGAGGCAGGCAGATCTCTGTGAGTTCCAGGCCAGCCTGATCTACAAACTGAGTCACAGAGAAAGTCTGTCTCGGGGAAGCGGGGAGCATGCCTTTAATCCCAGCACTCAGGAGACAGAGGCAGGTGGATCTCTTGAGTTTTAGGCCAGCCTGGCCTATAGAGTAAGCTCCAGGATAGCCAGGGCTACACAGAAACCCTATCTCAAAAAAAAAAAAAAAAAAAAAAAAAAGAAAAAGCAGAATAAAATAAACAATACAGTTCATTTTTAGGTGATTCACTTGGCAAAATACTGAATGTGGTGGGTTCTAAACCAGGACTTTTATTACTTAACTTTATAAACTACTTATGTGACCCAGAAACCTCTATTGTTTGTTACTAGCTGTGGAGAGTGGCTATATAAGGAGAAGTGAGTAGATCTTTTTCCTTTTTTCGTTTTGTCCCCTCCTTCCCATTCAAAATATCTGTGGACTAAGTATAATCAAGTATATGAAAATGTATGCAACTCCACAAGTATTTGAAGACTGATGAAAAGTACATGCACATGGTGCCATAGTTATATCCAACAACTGTTCGGTCTCACTTTCTTTATAGAGCAGTTAGTTCTGCTCACTGCTCTGAAGGTGGAGAGCTGGCTCAACCACTTTTTAGAGCTTTGACCTTAGTCAAACCACATAAAAATTGCATGATTTATTGTGTATAACAGGTTTTGAATTATGTATGTAGAGTATAATAGCTAAATTGAATAAAGAAACATGTACTGCTTCATATAGTAATTTTTATGTTGAGAAGGCTGGAAACCTAATCTCTTAGCGATATGAAAACTACATTGTTATTTACTATAATCAGTCACCATACTACACACAAGATGTCTTGACTTTGGTCCTTCCTCCTTTCTACTTGAGATTTTTAATTTTTTATACATTGGCCAACATTTCAATTACTTCACTGTTGACGCCGAGGTTTCTTCATAGTTAAATAGAACTTTAAAAAAGGTATTTCACTGGGTTACTGAGACTAGAATGAGAGAGACTATTATCCAAAACTCAATTTCCTTACCCAAAATGGAAGCAATTATAAGACTGCTGCTAAGACTTGAGTGAGGTCACTCATGTGCATACAGCACAGCGCTGGGCCACGGGGAGTATTCAAGACACCGAACACTGACATTACCACTACCACTATTGTTATCAGGATTAAATATCTGGTTAAGAGAAAAGAAGGAGCCAGGTGTGGCAGCGCACACCTTTGATCTCAGTGCTTGGGAGCCAGAGGCAGTTGGTTTTCTTTGAGTTCAAGTTCAGTCTGGGTCAGCCAGAGCTATACAGTGAGTTCCCATCTCAGTAAACAAACCAACCCCCAAAACCACCTAATTCGAGTCTCTGAAAACAGTAATTTTAACACACTTAACCTATGGTTTAACTGTGCTGTATTTCCAAGGATTTTAGGATTATGTATGTGTGTCAGCCTATAAATGCAGATATATATATATATGTTTTTGTATATATATATGTAATATATATATATACACACATATAAATATAATGAAAACAACAACTTGTCTCAAAGACATTTTTCTTGATTTAGGAGAAAAACACTAAACATAAACTAAAAGGCCAGTAAGTGGCTTGGGTTACTACAAAAGTAACATCTGTTGAACAATATTACAGTTAAAAGTTATTAAATGATAGGAGGAAATCTGCATCTTTGTTAGACAGAAAACAGCCATCTAACCACTGTAATATTCTTCCTATAAATTCTCTTACTGGGTCTTTTCAAGTCTGTTTGCATCAAACAGAGTGAGTACATACTTTCAAGTGTTTGATATTCCTCAATATATGTCAAGTACAAAGGAAAAAAAGGTTCAAGCCCAGGAAGGCTGCCTGTGACTCCAGCACACAGGCGGTAGAGGAAGACTAGGGGTCCAAAATTATTATCAGCTACAGAACAAGCTGGAAGCTATCCCACACTACATAAGACCCTGTCTCAAGAAATAAACAAAAGCCCTAAAAAGTAAAACAACAGACAGAACTCTTTTCCTTACTGGGGCAAGATATAGTTCTGTGAAAAACACCAGAAACTGCTGCTCCATCACCGTCATCTGGATGACAGCTACAAAACACAACACTGCTATCAAGCGTCACAGAGGAATGATGAGCTCCCCTACCTTCTTCTGCAACCAGGGCCTTGAGCTCTCCCAGCAAGCACTTGGCAATCCTGACTTTTTCAGCAATTGGGCCTACATTTTCCGCCTGCTGCACATTCTTGGCTAGTTTTGCATCTTGCACATGTACGTTTAAATACTTTTCTTCATTTGTGGCCTTTCCAGTTTGTTCTTTGGCACATTTTTCTTCACTTTTGGCCAAGAAGGCTGGCTGTAACTGAGAGGGGTTCTGGTATGCCTGACTGTCCGAGACAGTGTCTTTTCCATGAGCTGGAAACAGAGACATATGTGTTTGGAAACACTTCAGTAGGTCTGTTTCCTTAGGAGCTCTTTGTTGTGGCATAATCCAATTAGCAAGACTTAGCTGCTGAAATGTTGGAGCAGCTGCTCTGTCAGGGTAGGGAAGGGCACATGGAATTCTAGGATGGACACTAAATGAATTCCTGGGAATGTCAGTGTGCTTCCCAAAGGTTGTTGGACCTTGTGATCCAAACTGGTTATCATCATCAGTCTGAACTTCCTAAAGCAAGAAAAAAAGCAAGCCTTCAAAAGTATGGACAGACATTTTGTAGACTATAAAACACAAACCAATAATATTAAAAAACAATTTTCTACCATTAGAAACCAATTTTGTGATATTTTCAGCTAACAAGCAAGCTGGATTTCTCCACTCTCCAACATAGACTAGTTTTTCAGAGCTTAAGTAGATTACTCTGCAACATGGGAACATTATAAGGTCACGATGAAAATATACTGTTTACAAATACCATACATTCTTTAAAGGCATCAAAAATTAGTCCACATTTGGACTGAAACAAATATTTTCATTTTGAGGAACATTTTAAGAAGCAAGTTCAGAGGCTGGAAAAATGTCTCATCTGTTAAGGCTACTTGGCACTCTCGCAGAGGACCTGGGTTCAGTTCCCAGAATCCACAGGGCTGCTCCCAACCCTCTTTAGCTCCAGTTCCAGGGGGTCCAGTGCCATCATGCATGTGGTACACAGACATACATGCAGGCAAAATCCCCACACAAATAAAGACAGAATAAATATTTTATTTAAAAACACACACACAAAGCTTCTAGAAAGATATTTTCAGCAGGGAATGTTGCCCGGTGGTTATGTGCTTATATACCATGTATAAGGTTAAATTTTTAGCACCACAGAAATAAAAATACATTTGAGTATATAAAATGTATATGAGCGCATTATAGTAATAAAACTAGCTATCAGTTCAATTTCATTATACAATTTAGCTCAGACATTTGTCTTGATTTAAGAGAAAAAATAGCCACAAAAGACAGTTGTAACTATAATCCTACTTAAGTATTAAGTGAAAAAAAGCACCATATAACTGTATAAAGCAAAGCTCTCTAATCCCAGCACTCAGGGAGGCAGAGGCAGGTCGATCTCTATGAGTTCGAGGCCAGCCTAGTCTACAAAAGCGAGTTCCAGGACAGCCAGGGCTGTTATACAGAGAAACCCTGTCTTCAAAAGCCGAAAACCAAAACCAAACCAAAACAAACAAAACAAAACAAAAAAAAAAAAAAAAGGAAAGGAAGAAAAAAAAGGAAGAAAAAGCACTTATAAACAGAAAATAAAATGTGCAGAGTTAAATGAGTGAAGACACACTTTATCCAGAGCTTGGGTGGTGAGCGTGCTTGATTCCTCTTTTCTCATGATTTCTTCTCTCTCACTACCATTCATAATAGTTAAAACTTTTTAAGATAAAAAAAAAATAATAAAATTGGTTTTATATCCTAGTACATTTGATCAGCAAATTCAACACACCGCTATACTGACAATTTCTCTAGTCAAGCAATTATTTGTTTGGTAACAAACTATACCCACAGAGTGAACCATTAGAGGGCAGGACGGCTGCTGAGGTGGCCAGACTGAAGTGGAAGCAGAAAAGCCATAACCAGAATGTGGTACTGCCTGAGAGTCTAAGAAGAAAAAAAAAAAAAAGTATGCATCATTCACATCTTATAACGCTTACATAACAGCAAGGTAATTTAATCACAGCTCACATTCAATCTTTTGAAAATATGGTATGGACTAACCTGAACCAGACAGAGTATGACACGAAGAGGACAATCCATTGGGGGCATTTTTTGAAGCCAAGGTATTCATCAGTGACATTTGAGTCTGCACATGCTCACAGAGGGCTTGATAGATTATTGGTGAGTACATCCTGTAATGATCTTGTAATGACCAATGCTGTGCTATGTCACTTCCTGTAGAAGCTTCATGAGATTTCCATTTATTTTCTGAAGACACTAATGTGGAAAAAGAAAGTGAGTTCTTAAGTGTGAGTCTTCAACAACTTTTACCCTAATATCTTAAGATGGGGCAAAAAAAAAAAAATCTCATACACTTTGTAGAAGGGCTTTACTGGAACTCCCTGAAGAAAACCATCCCAAGTTCTTTTGAAAGTAATTAATGAATTAAGTATCCCAGTCAAAATTCATCTGTACCTATTTCCTAAAATCTCTAGTAAGTGCTACTTGGAAAAACCTCCTTTTAGTTACAACACTTGTTATAGGAATTGCTCTATCACTAAAGTTCAATCAACTCTTTCACCTGGTCCCTGGTCCGGTTCTTCTCAGTGGAAAACAGAATACGAAAGCAGAACACTTTGTAACTTTCTACGTTTCCATAGTTAAAAAAAGAAAAAAGGTCAATCAGTAAGAACAGCGGACAATCAAAAAACAATCTTAATCTAGTATTTCAAATTTCCCAAAATCTGACCACCACTGACTTTTCCAGCTCTTTCCACTGCTCTAGACTCAAATGTTTCCTTTACACCAGGCCAGCGTAGGTACTAGTAAGCTGTTTTCACTTCCTGTAACACTGCTTATGATGAACTTTCCCTTCCAATTCAATTCCTCCCTCACCAAGGCTCACCTGTCTTTATCTTCCATGAAGCTTTTTCTAAACCAATTATTTGAGTTCAGCAACTGCTCTTCACTATCCCAGAGCACATACTATTTAATTAAATCGTCTACCATACATATATTGTCCTATGCCATTTATTATTATTTTTTCATTATCTTCTCCCTCTGGCTAAACCATAAGCGTCATAGAGGCAGGGCTGCCTCTTTCTAATTAATTCATTTATTTTACATCCCAACCACAGTTTCCCTTCCCTCCCTTCCTCCCAGTCCTTCTCCCCTTCCTCCAATCCACTCCTCTGTTTCTCTTCAGAAAAGGGCAGGCCTCCCATGGATACCAACCAGCCCTATGCAGGGCTGTTTCTTATATTTCATTATTAAAACCCTCACTAGTGTATATGCAAAGTATAAGTCTGCTACTAAATAGCTAAGGAATGAAAAGGCTTTGATACAGCACTGTTCTATAACTGGTATTTAAAAAAAATCTACATTCTATTTCTCTAACAAGATGGCCCCTCCCCAAAATGTATGCCAAACAATATTAACAGAACTTACTCTAGATCATAAGCTATCAGGTTACAAAGTAGACTTTGAAAAATAGCTGGGGTAGCACCTACAAAAGACAAGCTGACACCATTCCTCTGCCCTGAATGAGCATTCACGACTACTAAAGGACATATACTAGAATGCTCACTTACCAGCTAGGCAACCGTGAGGACTTGTCAAACTTCTTTCTTTTGTTCGTTTTTGTTTTTTTCAAGATAGGGTTTCTCTGTGTAGCCTTGGCTATCGTGGACTCCCTTTGTACACCAGGCTGGCCTCGAACTCTCAGAGATCCACCTGCCTCTGCCTCCCTCAGTGCTGGGATTATAGGCGTGCGCCACTGCACCCACCTGCCTAACCTTTCTTTGCCTCCTTTTTCTTATTAGAAAATTGGTGATTGAAAGAGTACTACTTCTTCAGAGCAGAGTGGTTTTAGGCTGCCTGGAAGACTTTGAGGTCTGACTCCTACTCTGACATAATATTGTTACTTCTGCAGGAAGCAGAGGTGAGATGACAAAGTCCTTACAAAAATGAGTCTAGACATCCCAGAATCTTCCAGAAACAAAACAAAACAAACAAAAAAAACCACAGCTGTTCCATCTGCACGGACGGCCACCTAATCGGTTCAAGCACCACAAAAGGTAGGCGCAGCTTTTGCAGGCCCTGCCCCTGTCTTTCCCCGGAAGAAACCCAAACTGTTCATGCTTATGCAGCAGACGGTCACAGCAGTGAGTCTTCAAAAACGGTATTCCTGTGAAGAATTCATGTACTGCTGAAAAAGCCAGTCTCGGGCAATGCCTGCGCATGGAGGGACACACTAACGTAAGACAAGAAGACAAAGATAATTTTCAATAAAGATGAAAAGAACATACTGTTTGCTCTACTCCAACTCTAAGGAGCACAAGGCTCAGACAATGTCCCATTAAAGTGGCTATGGGACAGCTTCCAAACCAAGTAGAATCTCATGGGACAATGTCCAAGACAACTAGAGAAGTCTAATGGGGGGGAGAAGGAAAACTGATGGATTTGGAGAGTCCCTTCAACAGTTTAACAATGACACGATGCTGTTTGACAATGTGAAGAGCTTGATGTTTAGATATGACCATGAACTTGAATCATTATATTCTGATAGGCTTTGGGGATATGGGTAGCCCAAGGCTTCATTTTCAGGAAAGACTGCTAAAAGGTGAATGTGACTGTTAGGACTACACCCTAGAAGCCTGATGGGATTCTAAGATAAGATAGAACCTGACGGTTGGGGAGATAGCTTGGTGGGTAAAGTGTCTGGCACTCAAGCACCCACTTAAAAAGCAAGGCATGGACATCTGTCAACTCAGACCGGGGAGCACACTGGTCTTTGGCTTAGCCTAGCTGGAAAAGTAAACTCTAGGTTTAGTGAAAAGACTCTTTTCTACAAACAAGATGGAAGGTAGTATAGAATATTTGTGCTGCATGCCTAAAGCCCTGGGTTCAAGCCCCATTACTACCAAATAAACAAATAAGAAGAGGCACATTGAAGAGGCCACCCGATGCCAGCCTCTGTCATGCGCACAGGCACGCAGAATCAGAGGACGCATTTTTTCTTTTCTGGGAAAGGCAGGATAATAATCAGTCTCCTTCACCTTCCTAACATTTCCTTCCTATATGGAGCCCTCCAGGATAGGGTGCTGTAGTCTTTAATTGTGAGATTGGAAGAGCCAGTTTGTTTAGTGCTGCAATCACTACCTCACATTGGCCTAACCTACTTGTTCCTTCAATTTCCCTGTCACTCTTAAAGTACACACCCAACACTGGTCACACATTATAAAAACCTGTTTGCCTGCAGATACGGAGAGCAATATCTGAAGGAACCCACCCAGTTACAGTAAACCAATAATACTATATTGTCTTTTTCTACTTTAATGTAATTTCATTATTACTAAATACAAAGACAGAGTAAAACACAAACAATGACACCTTCTAAAGATTGTTGTAAAGTAATACTTGTCTTAAAACAACATGCGGCACATTATAAAAACTAAAGATGTTATACCTTCAAATAGTTGCAAACTGGCCAGATAAGTAAATATTTCATATTAATAAATCTTGCTATCTAAAAATATACTTCTAAACATGATCCCTCTAAGATTATTAAAACCCAGAGCAATAACAGATTTTTTTTTCTATCAGAGAAGCTACAAAACTAGCTAATAATTTCCTATAAAGTATGAGTTTTTATTTAAAATGCAATTTTATAATAAATAAAGTAGAAAAAAATCCTCCAAAACTATTTTAAGTTTGAAGTCTAAGATGGTACGCGGGAGATCACAGTCCACAACCACACGGCACATAGCCTTGTCCTTTCCTTTTGAGCCCTAGGCCTCTCTTCTCAGACTTCCTGCGGTTCTTTAACCACTGGTCTGATTTCATGTTCACAGGCCCACAATCTCAATCTACTAGCGCATCTGCCTTCTTTCCGTAGTCTTTTATCAAGCTGGGCTACACAATGCCCTGCCTCTGCCAGCAGATGTCATCATCCCACATGAATTAATAAACTCCAAACATGCTTCTCTCTTAAAAGCCCCAAGAGTAAAGACTTCAGGCTTAGTGGGCACACTCCTCAATGCCACTGCAGTAAAAAGCAGTCATGGAAAACAGATGAACAGTAGGTTCTAACAAAACCTTAGCTATAAAATAAAATGAGGACTGTTTCTAAAAACACAACTGGCTGTATGGTACTGACCGTAATTAAGACTGATACTGTCCAACAGGAACATAATATAAGCAATACATGTAATTTAAAATTTTAAGTAGTCACACTGAAAAGTTTAAAAGATGACTTACTTTTCATGTCGTCAGAGTTGGGGCTGCAGCTCAATAGTATAGGTCTTGCCTAGCATGTTAAAGGCCCTGAGTTTAATCCCCAATACCACAAAAAATAAATATGTAGATGTAGCAAAAGTAATAGTATTTCAGTGTATAATGCCCAGAACTAAAACCCTTTTATATTAAATCTTCAAAACCCAGCATATATTTTACATAAAGTATACATTGGACCAGATGCTAAATTTAAATCAGAAATATTTCATCTCTATTTAGACTGAATATGATTTATTGCTGTACATTTACATACAGAAAGTATTCCAAAGTCTTAAATTTTTATAATTGAATCAAATATCAGTTTTCAAATTTATTAAACTAATTAAAATCTCAGCCTAGGGGTTGGAAAATAGCTCAGTCAGTAAAGTACTTTCTGCTCAAGTACAAGAGCCTGAGTTTGGATCCCAGAACCTTGCAAGACCTGACAGACAAGCAAACGGGGAGGCAGGGACAGATGCATCCATGACACTCACTGGCCCAGTCAAATCAAGAAGCATCAGGCTCAGGGAGAGACAATGTCTCAAAACATACAGGGAGGGAGTGAAAAAGGAACAAACACACACTCAGCCCAGCCTGCACCAGTCATGTTTCAAGGGGTCAGTAGGCACATGCGGGCTAGTGTCTATCCTCTTGAACAACATAGATGAATAGGGCAGGATGACTGGTCTCAAAGATGGAAAGATTGGAAGAAGCTGTTTTTCTAGCCTTCTTAACTTATGATCACATGGAACAACAATGTCTTCGCACCTCCATTGTCTGGGCTTTTTTGCTTGCATCTTGATCTCTTAGATTGTCTTAAATGATTTTTTTAACTTTATCCCCTGTGCAAAATGTAAGCGTCCCCTGAAGTATTGATTGCCTGACATTTCTGGTCCATCTGAAAAGGACTCCATTTAGGACTATTTTGTGCTTTAGGTCTTTCAAAGACAATATTCTCAAAAGCTTTTTTAAAAATATTTCCTGAATCACTACATTTAATTTTGCAAGGTTAACCATAAGAGCATAAAACACATGGCTTTGATACATTCCATGCCAACCACTGGCAGGCTTTCTTTGTCATATACCCTAACTGCACCAACAAGTTTATTCTTTAACAGAATATATACAAGCAAGTTAATTAAAAAATAATTATTATATGTAAGTATGTACCCAAAATGAAAGTTTGTGATTAGCTTTGAAAACAAGGGATATGCCATGCAGAGTTGCCAACACCTTTAATCCTCGTACTGGGAAGGCAGAGGCAGGCACATCTCTAACGCATTTAAAGCCAGCCTGGTCTACATAAGTTTCAGGCCAGCCAAGGGCTACACGGTGTCTCAAAACTCCAACCAACCAACCAATAAACAAGGATAGGATAGGCAAGCTGACTCTATAAAATATACTCCCTAATGTCATTCAGTGTGAAAATTTTATACTGTAAACCCAGGAAAAAAAACTTTGTACCCTTCTTTTTAAAGTAAGTGACAGGTAACAAAATGACTATCTGGCAATGAGAAGCTGACTCCAAAAAAAAAAAAAAGTCTCAGGCATACACCTAAACCAAATACAATAAAAATAAAAAACAACTGCACAATCCTGATTAAAAGTCATCTTTACAGCTGTAGAGATATTTTAATCAATATCTCTGCCCAAGCATGCAGGCCTGAGGTCGCATCCATACTCCTGTAATGTTCATCAAAGTGAGTGGTACATGCCTGCATGCCCAGGGCTGGACAGGCAGAAGGCAAAATTTGTTGGCCAACCACTCAAGCAGGAGTGGTGAGCTTCAGTTCAGTGAGGAGACCTTTGTTGCAGGATATTTGACCCCATTGTGAACCTCAAAATTGTGAACTGTAAAACCCTGACTCTTGTTTGGTGTGGTTGAGCCCTAACACACACCTTTAATCCAAGAATTTTCTGTGTATTGTAAACCTGTGATTCTGGTGTGGTTCACCCAACCCTAGCACACACCTTTAAAACAAGAGCTTTCTGTACACTGGACTTAATAAAGTTAACTTTAGGTCAAGAGGCAGAGCAAGAAACCAGCTGACAGGGATTAAGAAGAAAGGATTAAGAAGAAAGTTAAAGGGTACTTAAGACAGCATGGAGAAGTATAGAAAGCTATTTATAGCTCCAGCTTTGCTCTAGCTTTGGCTTCAGCCCCTCAGATGCCTGGCTTTTTGGACTTTGAGCAAGCAAACCTTTGGCTTTGGGTTTTTGGCCTTTTCCTCCTGGGCCGTCAGTTGAGCTAGTGAACCCTCTGGGTTTTTTCCATCCAGACCTGAGCTGAGAAGGAAGGTCAGCTGGGCACTTTCTCTGCCTCTCTGAGCTAGCAGGTTTTCACCCCAGCATCTGGCTCCTGAGTCTTTATTGGTAAAAAGAACAGTTGGGATTTTCATCGTTGTTTACTTTGTCTCAACAAACAGTGGAGAGTGACTGAGGAAGACACAAGGCATTGACCCCTGGTGTGTGCACACGTGCATGTGAAAGCACAGGCCCATGCACACACCTACAGGCACTCACGCATTCACGCATGCACACGTGAAAACACTTTAAGTAAATACAGGGAAAAATGCTTACTTACATATTTCTTTTCGAATCACTGAAGGAGCATGTTTTTCAGGTCTTTTTGTTTTAGATCTGCATTTTCTGCCTTCTAAAGGTTTAGCATTGCATCTGTTTTCTGAACATACTATTTCTGAGCCTGTTGATAATAAAAAGAAAGTTCTGTAAACATTAAAAGGAACTAGTCTATTGATAAAAAGATGATCAGCAAAAAACTTTAAGAAAGAAAACCTGAATCTTCGTTTTTCAAAATGTCCCGTAGCAAAGACGCACAGCCATCAAGTCCCTGCACAGTTTCCGTCTGTAGGAAGAGTCACATAGAGATAAAATATGCCACGCCACTGCAAAGGCTTTTCTTTCTAAGCAACATATTATTGGTAGACCCATGTCTTAAAGCAACAGCCTACATATTTCCTTGACCTTTGCACTGAAGTCTCATTTAATAGCCTTTACCTGAGATCTAATGAAAACAGTATATTGTATCTACTCACTTTAACCTTACCTGATTTTCCGAATCAGAATGAACAGGACAGGCAGGATCTGCATTTAAATGTGCTGTTTTTCTTATGTGGGTCCTACAGAACAAAAGTTGATATCCTTAAAAAAAAAAAAATCACAAGTACTTTTTTCTCAAAACATATAAGTAGTCATTTCCTTTCCACCAAAGACTGGAGAAGCAAGCTCATCCATTCACATGTGATGTGCACAGGACTCTGTGGAGATCATGAAGACTACTAACACTAACCACTTACTGGGCTGGCATGACCTGGGCGGTGATGCAATATTCTGAGACTGTCTTTTGCACTCTAAGAGACTGGAACTTTTGCTGGTCCTCACAGCCAAAGTGAATAATACACACAGAAGTCACATAAGCCTAAGATGGCTAACCCACTGTGTACTCACTCCAACTGTTTACTTAACCTGCCTTTAAGAGAAGAATGGAACAACCAATCTTACTTGCCTTGGTTTTTCACGTCATCAAATTTTGCAACCTAAGTCAATGCACACACAGCTGCAAGCTTAAGTTCTTCTTCCACAGGCCCGACCCAGACAATGGGTGTGTATCATTTGCTAACGATAGCAAACAATGAAGGTGAAAGCATAGTCCTCAAATCTACCACGTGAAGGCTGAAAGTAACCATTATAGATATTTGCTAGTGAACAGTGTTTGCTGCCTGGGTCAGCTGGAGTGACATAATTCCTTGTAGAACTCTGTTAAAGATTTCTGTAAAGTATCCCATACTTTCCCCCGGATGATGCTTCTAGTGTGATAAATGCAGAGTGCAGTCCTCTGTATTTATACCCAGATTCAGACACAGAGGGAGAGAAGAGATGCACACAGATACAGACATAGTCACAGGACAGCCTCCAGGCAGACACAGATTCGGACTCATAAAACAGAGAGGATGGAAGGAAACACGAAGTAGAGGATTCAAAGCTGGACTCACTCTTGGATGTCTAGGGGAAGTGCTTTTCTTTCCTTAATGTGACACTGATGAGCAACTGGTGACTTGGACTCAATTACTAATGGGTTATAGTCTGCTTATTACCCAACTACTTGTAGAGGCAGAATCCACTAATTTTTCGGGGGGTCAGCATAATACAGCCAAGCCCTAAGACCTGAAAATGTATCTAAGATGTCCTGAACTTAGGAACTTTGAAAAGTACTCACCCTTTCTTTCCATTTGTTAACTTAGATCCAGGGTGCTTTCCTGAAGATATCACCTACAACATAGTATGTTATTTTACGGTAGGTAATTATTATTTCATTAGACAGCCATCCTGACATCCCTGAAATAGCATCGTGGATTTTTTTTTCCCCATACAGCCAAACTGAAACATTTCCATGCCCCTACAACCACTTTTCTAATTTCCAAAAATCTGACTACTTTAGAAAACATTTCTAAATGGACTATCTGTCCTTCTATGACTAGTATAGTATTTTAACCATCATCCATACTGTAGCATCAACCAAAATTTCCTTTCTTTTATGAGGCTGAGTATTCCATTCTATGTATGTAGCATGCTACTTACTCTTTATAAATGAGATGTATCTTAAAAATCCACAATTATAATTTAACTTCAATACAAGAAATTTGTTTTACATGCAACGTGTGGAAAATAACACGTGTATTTGCTTCTTTCATCTATTTCATACATCTGTAAAAAAAACTGCCATATTATTTTAAGCCAAAAGGACCTATTACCATTATATTTGGACTATACTCAATCCTTGAACATGGTCTAACATCTCCAAATCCTCTGATACACAGAGCCAGGGCAAGAGCTCTGTGAGTAAACTGTAGCTCAAGCATGAGCTCAGAGCCTGGCATCTACATATAAGCCAGACTTGAGGACCTGCATGTAACCCCAGCAACGGAGTGAAGGCGGGAGAGCCCTGGACCCTGGGGAATCAACAGGCAGCCAGGCTAGCCAAAACAGTGGGAAGCTCCAGGTTCAGTGAGAAATCCTGTGGAGAGTATTAGTGGAAGCCAAGCAATCCCTGACCTCCATCCACACATGCAGAGGTTAACGCGCCCATCCACACACACTGAAAAATCAATTCTCTTCATACAAACTTTCCTTGTAACTGGTTATTACCTTCTAACTTTTTAGAAGGATGGACAAAACTAGCACATTAAAAACTCTGCCTTTATCTACATCTCATTTTTTTTAAATTCAAATAAGACTTTTAAGTCTGCATTTTAAAGCTAATACAGGTTGGACAGCTTTTATGTAGAAAATTTGTTCACTTGCTTTATATATACTCAACATCTTGAAATCTATGTAAGAAAGTTGTCTTCAGGCAGGAAAACTGGGTACCTGGGGAAGCAGATAAGAGAGGTTTCCACAGGGAAGCTTTCTATCACATACCTCTTATATTGTAATAACTGTATCTGGTAAACATAATCTCCACTCAAAATAAAATGTTAAGACATCAAAGCCCCTAATCTTCCCCTCATTCCACTCTTAGATGCAGTTTCATTCAGGTCTTCACATGTTTACACATTTCATACCAAGAGACCTTTAAACAGTTATCAAATTTCCTGAGGTTATTTACTATTCTCTATTAGGATACACACACGTGCACGCACACACACACACAATTTACATGTATAAATAATGTAACCGAGAATAATGTTATTGAGAATGTCTTTACAAAAGTGAATTGGTAAGAGTTAGACTTCTTGAGATACCTTGGGATCTGATGGAGAGTCATGAAATAACAGTATCATACAAAAACAAAAAAAAAATGTTTTGCCTGACACATACATATCTCAAAATAGCTAAAGGGCATAAGTTGAGATCATAATATCCCTTAATGTTTCTTAAGAATAAAATTCCCTAATATAGACATAAAAATTGAGAACTTTAGCATTATACTCTAATCTATATAAACCTGATTCCCAATTTTGTCCTTTACTGGGGGGAAAAAAACCAAAAAACTAGTCTATGTTCAATCCAGGATCATATGGTACACTTAACTGCTGTGGTTCTTAAATCTCCCTTAATCTGGAATAGTACCTTGGGCTGTCATTATCTTCTATAGCTTTGACATACTTTAAAAGTAAAGGCTAATTATTTTGCATAATGGATTTCTGAATATTTAGATTACCTGTTTGTTCATGATCGGATGCATTTCTGGTACAAATTCAGGAAGAGATATGTCATTTTAAACACAAGTAAGCAAATGATATCAGTTATCCTGTTACTGGTGATAAACTGATTTAAAATGGTGTCTGCCAAGATTTCTACCACTGACATTACTATTTTTGTCTGACATGATGGTGCACTTTAATTTCAGCACTTGGGAGGCAGAAGCAGGCAGATTCTGTGAGTTCAAGGTCAGCCTAGGTCTGCAAAGCAAGGTCTAGGACAGCCAGGATTGTTACACAGAGAATACCTGTCTCAAACAAAAGAAAACGAAACAAAACAAACAAAGAAAAATATTTTTACCCTGACACTTTGTGGGAATCCTTAAACTTTCTCTCAGTAGTCTGAACATCTATTGACGGTTCCTGTTTAAGTCAATGGTTTATCAAAAGGTGACTTATTTAGATACACAATTCCTTCTACATTTACTAGATGATTACAACTAATAAGTAGAATTAGGGAAGGAGGTTTCTGTAGAGGAATTTTAATTCAGAACATGGCTGCTCTGGCAATGGATCACATCCAAAAACCTAGGTCTGTGTGATCTGGCTGGAATGCAGATCCACCACATACTTTTAATCCACAATGTAGATAAGGTTAATTGGTAGAAGGAAGCAGCCATGTTTGAAAGTGAAGTCTAGCTGAGCAGACAAAATATTGAGTCAGAGAAAGAGATGACAGCATGAATGAGAGAAAGGATAAGCCCATTAGAGATATATGACTGTAATTTCTTAACCCATTCACTCAGATATTTAGGTTGTTTCTGTGTCTTGGCTATTGTGAGTAATTTGACAATGAAAGAAAACACAAACAACTCTTCAAAGTCTTGATTTCAGTTCTTTTGAATAGATACCCAATAATGGAGCTGGCCGGGTCATATCAGGTCCACTTTAAAGAGTTTGGTTTCGAGACAGGCTCTCACTGTTATTCAAGCTGGCCTCAAACTCACGATCCTCCTGCCTCAAGTTCCTAAGTACTAGGACTATAGTTGTATACAGCTATGCTTGGAAACTTCATCCAATTTTCCATAGCAGCTATACTATTTATACAGTCCCACTGGGACTGTACCATGGTATCAACTTCTCAATACCCTCACTGAGACTTATTTTGTATTAGAAAATATCTCATGGCTTTAATTTCCATTTCTTTGATGATTAGAGCATACTGTCATGTACATATTGACAATATGCAACCATTCAAAAAAAGAAGTCTCAAGCCAGGTCTTGAAGAGTGCAAAGTACACATTAGCAGGAAAGACATTACAGGTACGTTGATAAATGATGGAAAACAAAACAAAACCCCACATGTACTATATGCCAAGTGTTTTCTAAATCTCCAAGGCAGAGATGGAATATCCTAGCAGTAGACCAGCCCCATTTGATGAAGATTACAAGATATGGAAGGTTGCCTGACGCACACCCGGTAGAGATGTGAGGGTGTCAAAGATTCCAGAGGCGGTTCTTGACCAGATGGCTGGATGGAATGATCAGGCCCACCATAATGTGCAAAGGCATGAAAGGACAGCGCAGAGGACCCAGGCAACTGCAGGACCAAAACTAGTTTAGCTGTAATGGACCTGAGTGGATGCAGATGGGGGCGGGGGCCGAGGAGGATCCAAAATGGCTCTGTTCCAAGCCAAAGCCTATGTACCTTGAAAATGGGTTCCCCTGTCGTATTTTGGGCAGTTACCAGAGAACATTAATGGTCACGCATTTGAGAACGGGAGGGCTGGTACAGACACTGACTGGGAGACTTCAGCAGCAGAGACAGGAGATCAGTTAATAGAAGCCTGGGTGGAAGCACCGCAAAGCTGAAGGTTTAACTACGTGAAGTCACTGCACCGGCGGTAAAGGCTGGGGTTCCCATCCGGAGGCTGACACCAGACCCTGCGCTCTGGAAGCCCAGGACCGACGTCCGAACGAAGCACTCATCCGGGGACGTTCTCACCACTTCGGGAGCGCCGCAGTTTTCTGTGTTCATCCTGTCTAGCACCTTCCTAAATCCCCCTGGCCCCTCGCCACCCGACCGTGGACTCATCGGTCCTCAGCCCTCACCTGGCCCGGTCGAGATCCGGACCTGACCATCTCTCTCAGCCTCAGAACCGACCAGACGGGGCGAAACGAAGCCCTGAGGAAAAAAGAATTAACCGCCGAGGCGTCCGGACCGCCCTTGTCCCGCCCCCTGAGCTTCCGCTTCCGGGAAGGAGCCCGCCGAACTCCGCGCCTCGGAGCCTCCTAGCGCTGAGGCTTTTTTTTTTTTCTTTTTCTTTTTTTTTTTTTTTTTCCTTCGTGTCCGGACCCTGGCGCCCTGGGTGTGCGCAAGAGACTCCGCGTTCCACAGTTCGTCACCCGCGTGCGGAGAGTGAGAGAGGCCAACAGACTGCACGCGGGGCGGGGCGGAGCCGGGCGGGGCGGGCCCGGGCGGGGCGGGCCCGGGAACGGAGGCGCTGAACCTGGTTCAACACCCTGAGGCACCGTGGGAACGAGGTTCAGCCAGCGCCACGGGAAGGGCCTGGGGTAGGAGAGGACGGCTGGACTTCAGTAGCGACTTGAAGCTTTGGTTGCTGTTTTAAATTTATTTGCTCTTGATAGTCACTAAGGAACCAGACCTCGGTATCATCATCTTGTGATCTTGATGACATTTTAAGACTCATTCACTGTTGCCTCTCTGCCGAACAGTGTTCAACAGTTGGGACTTGGGGTTTAGTAAGTGCGTGGTTTGGTTGTGGACCTCTTCTGCTGAGATAATCGCTGTTGACAGAGAATAGCGGTATTTTTACCACTGACACCTGCACTAAGTAGAGAATGGGGTTTGAGACACTGTCTGGGATTGTTAGAGATGACTTAGTGGATAAGAGCACTTCCTGTTCGTGCAGAAGGCCTGGGTAGGGTACCCACAGCCAGTAGATCACAACCGCGTGACTCCAGTTTCAGAAGACCTAGTCCCCTCTTCTGCCTCCCCAGCCACCGGGCATGCAAGTGGTGTACATATATGCATACATATGTACTCACACAACGTTCTAAAAAGGATATTTGCACACACACGTTTGAGAGATCATCTCTTACCACATAACTTTGCCTGGCTTTAAACTTACTTTGTAGACCATGCTGTCCTGGAACTCACAAAGACCCTCCTCCATCTGCCTGCCTAGGGCTGGATTAAGGTATGTGCTATCACATCCCACTTAAATAAATCTTTTTCTTTTGAATGCATTAAAAAGGAGCTGGAGAGATGACTCACCAGTTAAGAGCACTAGTTGCTTTTGCAGAGGGCCTGGGTTCAATTCCTAGCACCAGCAAGGCAGCTCATAACTTCAGTTCCAGGAAATCTAATGCTCTTTTCTGCTCTGTGAGGTCACTAGGCCCTATGTAGCGTGTAGTTCACAGATATACACAAAAAGAAAACACCTATACACATAAAACACGTGTATACACAAAAATAATATATATTTAAATTAAATAAAATATATAAATAAAAAGTATACGTAACTAAAACCATATATACATATTCTACAAGTAAAATATTTCTACCTATATATTACACATGCCTACTAGAGGTATTTTTAGGAAATTAGTATTTGTTATGTCAGCCTGTTTCCCAGGATACCTATGAATGCTGACCAAAACAAATGTTAACCTTTTTGGTTTGGTTTGGTTTTGGTTTTGTCTTTTTATTAATTATTTATTATAATTTATTCACTTTGTATCCTGTCTGTGGCCCTCTCCCTCTTCTCCTATTCCCCTTCCCTCTGACCCTAGCCTATCACGTCTCAGCAGGACTGGCTGCATTGTCTTCCTTTGTGGCCTGGTAAGGCTGCACCCCTCAGGGGGAGGTGATCAGAGAGCCTGCCACTGAGTTTATGTCAGAGACAGTCTCTGTTCCCCTTACTAGGGAACCCACTTGGAGACTGATTCTATAGGCTACATCTGAGCAGGTCCTCTCCATGCATGGCCCTTGTTTGGGTTATCAGTCTCTGCAGGGATCCCAGGGCCCAGTTTTTTGTTTTTAGCTCTGCTGGTCTCCTTTTGGAGCCCCTGTCCAGGTCTTTCTATCTCCCACTTCTTTCATAAAATTCCATGCACTCTGCCCAAAGTTTGGCTATGAGTCTCAGCCTCTGCTTCGATACTTCAATCAGTAGAGTCTTTCAGAGGCTCCTGTCCTGTTCCCTCTCTTCTGATTCTGATGTCTATTGCATTTGCTGTTTTGCACAAGGATTGAACATCTTCGCTAGGGTCTTCCTTGTTATTTAGCTTCTTTAGGACTATGGATTTTAGTATGTTTATCCTATATTATGTGTCTAATATCCACTTATGAATGTGTATATACCATGTGTGCCTTTCAGCTTCTGGGTTACCTCGCTTAAGATGATCTTTTCTAGTTCCCACCATTTGCCTGCAAATTTCATGATTTCCTTATTTTAATATTCCATTTTGTCAATGTACTACAATTTCTGTATCCATTCCTCAGCTGAGGGACATCTGGGTTGTTTCCAGATTTTGAGTATTATGAATAAAGCTACTATAAACATGGTTGAGCAAATGTCCCTGTTGTGTACTTGAGCATATTTTAGATATATGCCTAGGAGTGCTGTAGCTGGATCTTGAGGTAGCACTATTTCTAATTTTCTGAGAAAGTGCCAGATTGATTTCCAAAGTGGTTTACAAGTTTACATTCTCACCAGTAATGGAGGATGGTTCCCCTTTCTACACAACCTCTCCAGCATGTGTTGTCACTTTAGTTTTTGATCTTAGCCATTTTGATGGGTGTAATGTCATATCTCAGGGTAGTTTTGATTTGCATCTCCTTGATGACTAAGGACGTTGATCATTTCTTTAAGTGTTTCTCTGCCATTTGATATTCCTCTATTGAGGATTCTATTTAGCTCTGTACCCCATTTTTAAATTGGATTACCTGGTTTGTTGGTGTTTAACTTCTTGAGTTCTTTATATATTCTAGACATTAATCCTCTGTCAGATATAGGGTTGGTGAAGAATCTCCCAATCTGTAGGCTGTCACTTTGTTTTGATGACTGTGTCCTTTGCTTTACAGAAGCTTTTCAGTTTCATGAGGTCCCATTTACTGATTGTTGATCTTAGAGCCTGTGCTGTTGGTAGTCTGTTCAGGAAATTTTTTCCTGTGCCAATGATTTCCAGGCTCTTCCCCACTTTTTCTTGTAACAGGTTCAGTGTGTCTGGTTTTATGTTGAGGTCTTTGATTGACTTGGACTTTAGTTTTGTGCAGGGTGATAAATATTAATCTATTTGCATTTTACAAATGTTAATCTTATTTAAAACGATGAGGTGAAGGTTTTGCAATTTCTTTTTTCAGTAGCTCTATTGGGGTTCTCCAGTGTGAAGTTTATAGATGGCAACCTTATGCCTCAATTTCAAAAGTCTAAATAACCCTGAAACTCCTTTCTTCCTTCACTTCTCTAGTAGGCATTCACCTGAAATTACAGACGTTTCTCTTCCTTTTTCTTTTTAATTGTGTGTGTGTATGGCTTTGTGCACATGAGTGCAATGCCTGTAGAGTCCAGAGGAGGGCATTGGATCCCTTTGAGGGCACGGAGGTCCTTGTTCTAGCTAGGAAAACCAGGAATGTTAATCACAGGTGTCTCCTCAGTGGAGGAGATAAAAACCAAATATCGGCATTCTGTCCAGAAAGCAGAGAGTGGTTTTTGTTGATGACCTGGTGACATTTCTGCTGTCTGTGGAGGCAGACCTCACCCAAATCCCCCAGGATGATTATCCCAAACTCTTCCTCCCTAGACTGTTACTCATCCTTAGGGGAGATGTCACGTGTACTTTATGGCCTGCTGACCTCCGTGCTATGTATGGGTCAGAGACCACACTAGATTCTAGGCCTTTTAGCTGTAGAACCACCCTCATGGTCACCTGTATTTTGAAAGAGTTTCCATGTAAGCACACTGTAAGCTTTATTGTGCACCTGGAATTGGACTGATTGACTGAACTGATTATTGCCTGGAAACTTTTCCCCAAATTGTACTGTGTTTTAGATATGCCGACAATGAACTCCTGGCATTGGACTCCCTGAAGTCTAGTCCAGACAAATGAAGTCAATCTGCACAGTGTTTTCTTTTTCTTTCTTTCTTTCTTTTTTTTCTGGGACAGGGTCTCCCTGTGTAGCCTTGGCTGTCCTGGACTCTCTTTGTAGACCATGCTGACCTCCAATTCAAAGAGTTTCACCTGCCTTTTCCTCCCTGAGTGCTGGGATTACAGGCTCTCCCCCAGCTGGCTGAGTTTTCATTTTTATCCCTTTGCTTCCCCCACAGGAATTCGGCAAGGGTTCCCTCAGGATCTCCTGGAGTCAGAGTTACAAGTGGTTGCAAACCTCTTGATGTCGGTGCTGGGAACTGAACTCAAGTCTTCTGAAAGAGCAGGAAATGCTCTTAATCACTATGGCATCTCTCCAGCCCCACATATGTTTTTCTTAATTTGATTTTCTTACACAGTTTTCCTAATGAGTTCATACTTAGTTTTTTAATATATGTAAGAAGAGGGAAAAAAGAAAAGTCTTCTATAATCCATATGATTCTTTTTTAAAGATTTATTTATTTATTATTTATACAGTATATAGTATTCTGCCTGCATGAGTGCCTGTAAGCCAGAAAGAGGGCACCAGATCAGAGTATAGATGGTTGTGAACCACCACGTGGTTGCTGGGAATTGAACTCAGGGCCTTTGGAAGAACAGCAAGTGCTCTTAACCTCTGAGCCATCTCTCCAGCCCCCTCCATATGATTCTTTGGTACATTTCCTTCCAGACTTTTTCTACTTGAATATTTATCCATAAATACACTTTGGATATGTATTACCATGTTCTCTTAGTATCATTTTAGCATTTCCCTATTAATACACAATTACAAAATGGTTGTGTGGTGTTTTATTATTCTTTCCTCTTGCTCTTTCTATTTTTGGCTTATTACTTGATATTATAAATAAATCAGTAGGTGAGGTATGAAAGTGAGTTTGGAAAGGGGAGAGGAATACTTTTTCAGGTTTCATGTTTTGGTTTTAATTTTTTTAACTCTTTAATAATTTAACAGATGTATAAAATATATTTTT